CGATTGGGTTCAGATTGATGCCAACTCCTCTGTGCTCCATGATGAGTTTATTGCACACAGAGTGGGTGCGTATGTGCAAAATCTTTCCAAATCTTTCATATCACTCTTCTTTTAGTGCTAAGTGCAGTTATGCTCCTCTTTCATAGGGCTTATTCCACTCACAAGTGATGACATTGTTGACAAGATGCAGTACTCACGAGTAAGTGTATTAAACACCCTGCCAGCATTTCTGTTTTTATGAATATGACTCGTCTCATTAAATCTAACATTTTGCTTTCTTTGGTTTCCTATTAGGACTGCACATGTGATGATTTCTGTCCGGAGTGTTCGGTTGAGCTCACGCTGGATGTGAGATGTACAGAAGACCAGACGCGACACGTGACCTCACGAGATCTCCTGTCCAATAACCCCCGAGTCATTCCTGTGCGTGGATTCTCCTCACAAACTCGCATATACACACTTTGCTTTTTCTTATGTGATGTATCTTGCTCTTCAGGTAACATCCAGAAGCCGAGACAACGATCCCAATGACTATGTGGAGCAGGATGGTGGGTCAGATTCCTTTCTAATTTTCTGTATAATCACTCAGATGTATTAGTATTGATCATTTGGGGATTTCGTACAGACATCCTGTTGGTGAAGCTGCGGAAGGGTCAGGAGCTGCGTCTCAGAGCATACGCTAAAAAGGGTTTCGGCAAGGAGCACGCCAAATGGAATCCCACTGCAGGGGTGGCGTTTGAGTACGACCCAGACAATGCACTGAGACACACGGTGTACCCAATTCCACAGGAATGGTATGGTTCTTATGGCATGGTTTGATCACATTAAATGAGTATTATTTGTAATCAGGTACACAGAAGTATTGGTTTAGGATTTACTTTGAAACAAATTTCACTCAGAAATTGCTAGTAAATTTTACAAAGAAATGGCAAGTAACACCTAAAATTAAATGTGGAATTTTTAAGACTGAATTAGTATTGTCTTGTGAAACGTACTCCAATAATGGAGTGCACTTTTTTTTTTACAATGTACATAAATTAACACCCGGTTCTCATAAGGTTGCAAAAAAAAAAAAAATTATGTACACTGTAAGAAATCAACCATCCTGAAATGTGATTTTTTATGTATTTAGATAATCTTCATATATTTCGTTTTGCTTTTTACTTGTAATGTATAATTATGTACCTTTGCTCACCTTTTGCTTGTCAGG